CTAAATTAAATTAATAGGAAAATATTGACCCTGAAAACAATTAGAGTGGGTGGCATTAACATTTTGTTCCACTGCAAGGAACTGTGTAAAATGTGCCACCCTAGCCAAATTCGCCAGTCCAGAAGTCACCACAGAATCAACTGCCTGTTCTCTTCGAGTTAATCCAGAAATCACCGTCAAATTAGATACCTGTGCTCTTCGTATCCGTCCAGCAATCGCCACTAAGTAAACTAGTTGTGTACTGTAATCAAGTGTCTTTTTCGACCCCAGTCCAGAAAACCTTTTCAATTACCAAGTGCCTTCTTCGAGTCTTGTCTTAGTCAAGTTCATTTAAGGAGATAATTTCTACTAAGAGGCACATTTTTCTCTCAATTGAAAATCATTCAAATGATAGTTTACATCATAATTTTAATGAATATAAACATTAGCTGGTTATATATAGTTGAAATAATCGTCAGCTGTATCAATGAATGTTTAGAATTCGGATTCTGATATGAGGATGGATAGCTTGTTTACAAACATCGGCAATTGAGAGGAAATCACTGAAAACATAATTTTTTTTACATGTTCACGTGACCGGATGACGTGTAATCCCCCATTTTACATCCAGATGACGTTTATTTTATATTGAGTTGTTGTGCGAACTATCATTTAACAAATTTTTAATCGGGAGGTATTCATTGAAAATATTTTTGCTTTTATATGTTTGTACGTCTGATGCTGCTAAACCCACCGACGATAGGGCAGCTGACGTTCACCAGGCTTTATATTATAACTTTCTTAGGAATTTCACAAATTATCGGCCGAGAGAAAATTGGTCTGAAAAATCTGTCGCTGGCTCCTAGACTATAGGATCAGAGCCTTCCGCTCTATGAATAAATCAGGTTTGAATCACCTTGCCAGATAATTTAAATAAATATATAATTTAGGGTATGTTTAGTTTTCTTCTGAGACATAAAAATACCAGTACAAAGGACTCCGCACAAACTACATTAGTTTTGGCTTACCCATTAATTCTTTTATATTTTTAGAAATAATAGTTAAATGTGTTCAGATTAAAGGTATAATTTACTTAATTTCAAAATCTTAATAGCTTTGCTAAAATGGAGAACTTGTTATAGAGATGGACATAGTCCCCATCTCCTCCAATCCTGGAAGAGAAATTCTAGTTTCTTTGATAACTTTTCCTAAAGACGAGAATCTCAATTTAAATTATCACAAATTTCCAAAAGTTTCTATTATGTCAATTGCAATTGACATACAGTAAAGTGATTTAAAAAAATTTAAACATATAAAATCTCTAAAAGTAGAGAACAATTGACTCGGAAGGAGGATATACTGTAAAATTTAACGTGTCAATGGTTTGCTGAGTGAAAAAAAACTGTCGGCAACATTGACGTCAATCTTACAGAGAACTATATCTCCATACTCGTCGAATCGTCTGTTAACTTCACTCTTGTGATATCTCTTCTGCCAGTGGCACATACAATCGATCGAATCCACATCGAGACAACACATGACACACGAGTCTCCCTACGGGGATTTGGCACTTTGACGAGTTCGTATCGAGCGCAGGGTCGAGTCTAGTGAATGAATTCAGAACGAGAACGACTGAATTTTCTGGAGCCATGCGCCAAACACGAGTTTGGTTCAAAAACGAATCGCGATTGAAATCGTTTCACATTGTTTGGAAACTCGTATACTCTTCTTTTATTGCACCGTCTGCGCTCGTCTCTGAGTCATGACGTTCTCTTCCTCTCTCTTTCCCTCCAACGACCCCGTTTTCAATGACACTAGACTAATTGCAACTTTTTGCGTGCTGAAAACCCCTCTAAATGAAATCCCAGAAAAAAAAGAAAGAATTGCATTTAAAAATTGATAAATTTTTTTTCATTTCTATATCGAGTCTATTTCATAGCAGTTACATCAAACGTTTTGCAATCCTCTATCGTTTTACTTCAATTTAGAAATGCCTAAATTTTTAATTTCCTTACAAATTTTATCATATGAAGAATTCAAGTTTTGCAAAAATTCTATTTTTACATTCTTATAACATGAGAAGGTATTATTTTTAAATATAAGTGGATGTTTATTTTCGTTATGTAAAATAATAATATAATAATAATAATAATAATAATTAGTAAGCTTATTATAGACTGTAAAATTATAACCCAAGATGCTTTATTCACTACTTGAGAAATTGGATATCCTTATACTTGATTCGAATGTAAGGATCTTGAAAACGTCTTTAGATAAGTCATGACAATGGAAAGCCGTTATCACTCGGTTATATACCAAACTTGTTAATTTTCTCTGGAAACTGCGTAATATCAAGTATATCTTCTTCTCAAGGTTCAACGTTTGTTTCATAGAGAAGAAGCGACAGTTCACTCAAGGAGCGACTAATTGCCTCCGTTTTGTTTCTATGATTCTGGTAAATGAAATACTCCAGTGAATGATATCACCTTTCAACCTGTAATATTTCATTCCATTCATTACTGAAAATTGCTAGTTTATAATATTTCATCTAAACTCGAAAATATTCAGATAATAGAAACAAAATCAAATTGTTTGTTTCTTAAAATTATTACTCTGCATATAATTATAAGGAAAAAAGTTATATTTAAATTTTTATAAATTGTATATTTTATACAATTACATAATATACAATTGCATTTCTATAAATTATTATTTAATAATAGTCTACTTTATTAATTTTACTTTCGTGTTGGATTCATTACGAAAAATATGATGCAACATTTAATCAGCAGAAAGATTAACAGTATATATCAATTAATTTATAACGAATGGAGTAACAATAGGAATTGGAAATGATTTAGGGGAATGTGTAAAGAATAAATTGTATTGTCAAAATGATAGTAAATGATAAAAGAATATTTTGAGATTTATGATGTTTCCCTTTATCATTAGGTACTGACTGGGTGAGACTTCTCACGAAAAGAATCGAAACAAGAATTTGATTATTTGAAGCATAACGTATATTTTGTTTGGATATTCTTTTCTACACAGTAAAAAGTAAATCTTAATTTAAGAGCTGCCTTAAATTCAACACTGTCTGCTATAATGTTAAAGGATACGAAAAACGTGCGTAAATTCAACATTGACTGTCTTAAAAATGTTGCATCGTAATTTAAGGCAGCTTTCGTGCCTTAAAATAAGATTTTCTTTTTACTGTGTAATTAAACTACATCTGTTCTAATTTTAATTAGTGAAATTTCTCTACTTTTAGTGATGCATTACAGAGAAATCAATTTAGAAATATTATTACAAACAAACATACAAGTACTATGGAAGCAAAATTTATTTTTGTTTGTACTGAAATAAAAATTGAAAAAAACAAAGATTTGACATTTTATAAAAAATAGTACAAAAAAAAAAAAATTCGAAGCGATTTTGCCTCAAAAAACTGTCTTCGAGCTTGAGTTTAGAGGGATAATTGGGGTCTGCGTCAGCTCATTTTCTTTTACTCTTTATCCCATTTCCCACCCTCGTCCCTTACTTCTTGCATTTACTCTTCTTTCCAATCTCAAGTATCCAGTGGTAACTATTAAATTTCTCTTGGCAAGTAAAGTGGCGTCGATTGCAGGTTGAGAGGGGTGTCGCTTTGACTTCAAGAATGGCGGAAGTTAATTAATCGATCGATTGAATGTTGTTTCAAAACTTGAGATTTTTAACCCTTTATACAAAAGGATTCCCCTTCTTACTATTTAATTTTAAATTTAGAAACTATTTCTTTGTAATTTCTTTTTTGAAATTTTTATTTACATTTTTTGATAACTTTTTTTGTAATCAACGAACAATGTAAAGAAAGAAAACAATGAATATAACAATATAAATGTTTTTACTTAAAAACAACAACAAAAATCAGAGAAATATGAAATGCACATAAAAAGGTTTTTGAAAATACATTCAAACACTCTTATTGAAAATCCACAGTTATATTGAAAACAATTGAAATATAAAACCTTTTAAAAATTTGCAAAAAATTTTCCTCCGGAATTGTATACATATATAATGTCAGAGATTGAAAATGGAAATAATATGTTTTTATCGCTGGTTCGCAGCTGCTTGTGTAATTCAGGGGACCTTTTGAAATTCGACGCGTTGCTCGCAAAAGTGTGCGCGCGGATTCTTCAACTCCACTCATCCAATTTTGCAGTGAATGGTCGACATATCTCTCGACAAAATTATCATTAGACTTTCGGCAGAGTTCTACTTGCTTTAGAGAGGGAGAGAAGAAAATCAGGTAAGCGGCGCGCACTCAGCGACTGTTGAGCTGTACTATATATTCAGGATAATCGACAAAGTTGCGAAACGGTGTAACAAAAGATAGAATTAATTAGAGGGATATCTGTTCAGTAAAACCCCACTACTGGCAACGGTCCAGTAAACAAGTACCTATTGATTCAGATATAGTATGAAAAGGACAGGGAATACTATATCCGCTCACCGTATATATTTATCCGCGAATTTATGTCTTCGTACATATGTGAAACATTTATAAACAAAGGGACAGAGAGAGAAAGAGAGAGCGACTACGATGAAAGTTGAACGCATGAAATACAACGAACCGCGCGCATGTGTCAATTAGTAATCAATTTATTACTACCATCGAAACCAACGATGCGCGCGATACCATCACTTTTCCGGTACAACCACTGGATCAATTGTAAACGACTGGCAATGTTAATAGGTTGGAAATCGTTTTAATTATAAATCATTTAATTATCACTGCCCGCATGCGACGATTATTATATGATTTTAATGAAATGTTTTCATAGCAAGCTAAAGTGTGCAAAACAAACTTGAGAGTTTTAATTTAAAACAATTCAGGAAATAGTATTTAATTTGAAGTAGTTCGTTTCCCCCTAAAAGCAAGATCATCTCACCTGACCGAGGGATTAAAATTACTTTATCATTCACAACTTTATTATGATGAAAACTATTTTAAAGATTGTGGTTTAAAAAAGAAAGAACAATTAGATTCGTTGTTTATTTAAAAAATACAGATAAAATAGAAAAATTATTGCACAAATTAATTTATATAACAGATTTAATTTTCTTCCATTGTTTTGTTTATCCAGTCAACAAATTTCCAGACATGAGTTTGCACATCTGGATATCCTTTAGCGCATGGAAGTCCCATTGAAACGATTCCAACTTGATAATCACCAATGACAATTGGACCACCAGAATCACCCTTATTGAAAGTAAAAAATATTGACGTTAAAAATTTATTTATTTGTTTTATTAAAAATGCGTGTAAACTTACGTGACACAATCCTTGGCCATACTTTGTAAAAGTGCAAAGTTGCGTCTCTATTATAGGAGGAAAACTGTCCAATTTAGACATACGTTCTACGCAAGTTTTATGATCAAAAATTTTACTTTCTAAATATTGCAAATCTGTTGGTTCTTCTCCTGGCTAAAATTGTTATTAATTATTAAACATTAGTTTTAGAAATAAGACATCAAATCTCCGCTGATGAATGTCCACTGCCATGTATCATAAATATTAAAATTTATCTTTCTTTTGAAAAATCTACAGTCGATTGAAGGTCGACAGTAAAATTATACTTATCGATTCTGTAACTTTTCCACTTTCCACTCCCACTTCCCATCTTCTACGTCACACTTTCCACTCTCACTTCCCATTTTCAGTTTCATCTCCCACTTTCCACTTCCCATTTCCCACTTTACACTCTAACTTCCCAGTCCCACTTTCTACTTCTAATTTCCCTTTTTCTACCTTCCAATTCTACTTTCCACTCTCACTTCCCACTCCCACTTGCTAATTCTAATTTCCCTCTTTCTAGCTTCCACTTCCACTTCTCATTTTCCACTCTTAATAGTGAGAAAGTGGGAAAGAGAAGTGGAAGGAGGGAAGTGAGAGTGGAAAGTGGGAAGTGAAAGGCGTGAAGTTAAAGTGAGTGGGAAGTGAGTGTGGGAGTGAAATTGGGAAGTGGAAAGGTTACAGAATCGACCCCCTGGTTTCAATGAGAACTAGCGGCTGCTGGATATTTTAATAAAGGACATCCAAACAGCTTGAATAAGTGACAAAACGGGACCATTCATCTGCGAAGCTTGAAGCCTAAAGGTAATTTCACAATACATACCAGACTTAAAGAACCCCATCCAGAAGCAATAACAGGAATACTATGCAAATTCAAATCAACTGGAGGCAATTTAATTGGGTGTATGTTGTCCGAAAATATTATTGTACCCCTAATTTTTATTAATGCTAAATCGTTGTGCATTTGATTATCGACATTAAATTTAGGATGTTCAATAACTTTACTAATTTCGTATTTTACACTGTTTGCTTCTAAATGAGAGAGATTTGAAGTTCCAACCACAACATAGTCAGGTCTAAATGTTCTAAAATAATAATATTATATATTATTGTAATATGTTAAGAGACATGTAAACTATTAATAGTTATTTAAAAATTAAATTTACTCAATTTTTTTGAAAAAAATATTATTATAGTTTGATATTTTTACCCCATAAAGCAGTGAGCTGCTGTTAATATCCATTTTTCATTTAAGATAGAAGCTCCACAAAGATGTCCTACTTTGGTAAATTGTAGTGATACTTGATAAGGAAACTGCTTTTTTGTTGCCGTCAGTCCACCAACTATACGAGGTCTCAATTTTAATTCATTAAAAGAAATTAACGGATTAGCTAAAAAAATTAAAATCATGTAGTCATGACTAATCAATAATGCAATTATTTTATTTACTAATAACAAAATGTAAAAATTAATTTCAGTCAAAAAAGTTCTTTTTTAATTGAGGCAGAGGTGAGTGAAGTAGGTAATTGCTCCCTACGACTTTATTGGAATAAAAAAAACCAGTTGATTATCATTTGGTAATTTTGTATGCTTGTGGCCCTTGTTCGTATTAGAATAAAAAAATGGACATTATTAACAATAAAACTAATAAAAAATGTTCAAAAAAAATTTTTATACTTCATAACATAAATAAAACGATGTAAAAAATAGTTTATATGTATGATTTTATTTTTTATTGAATAAATTCTAATATAAGGCTCCAAAACAGCCTCGAACATGAGACAACACCCTTAAAATCAGGGAACCTTTGCGAAAAACTTTACTCTACAATTTTAACCTTCAATTTAAAAATTCTGTCTTCAATGTAAAATCTGCGCATTTATATTAAAATGATATTTGTCAAAACGGTGACCAAGATTACTGTACTTGTGGAATGCTGGTCACCGGACTTCATATTGCTCCCGAAAGCATCACCTCAATGGCATATTTTTGATAAAATTTTTTTTCTCTTTAATTAAAGCTCTAGACATGTACTTTTAGGTAATAAATATTTTTATACGAATTTAATGATTTATTAAAAAAAAAAAATTCGAAAATCGTTGAAGGTCATGCACAGAGGTGACCATGATGTCATCTAATGTTCCTTTTACAAATTTTCTGGCATTGAAATAATAATGCTTGATAAATATAGTAATATAAAATAATATAAAACTCACCTAATGTCAATCCAAAAAGAACAACGAACAATAAGTACGATAAATTTGACATGTTGGAGAATGTGTTAACTTTTGTAAAATTCATTTGCTTTATATACTAATCAATGCTCTTCAAAAATTTCGGAAAGATAATTGTATTTTATTAAAAAGGAAATGACTTATTGATAAATATACATTATCAAGATTCTAGTTTATCTGTTTACTATAAAATATTTGTTTAATTAAAAAAGTATGTTAATAAATTCATAAGTATGTTATAACATATAATAGAAATTCTAAATGAAAATAAAATAGAGAATCTTTTAATTAGAATAGAGTTAGTATCTGATTTTGTATAACATGAATATTTTACAAATAAAGAAATAAAATATGAAATTTGAATGCAAAAGTAATTTCAAATTTTGTCTTATTCTTTACCTCAAATGAAAAATTGAAACATTAATTGTTTGATTAGAAGTGATATTGTTTATCGAAGATAAAATAATTTGTGTATTTATAAACTCTAATATATTGTACTTATATCAAAGGAAGTCACATTTTTGATAAGGATAAATAATAATAAAAATATAACCTTTGTCTTCAAAAACTAAACTTTATAGAAATCAAGTACTTATAGGAAATTAGTCATATTTCAACTGCATTAATAATAAAATATACTGATAATTTTTATATGAAAATTCATTTAGTTTTAGTAAATATTGCCTGGTAACCTACTTCAACAGATATATTAATAAATCATGATTCTAGCTATCCAATCCAACAAAAAAAGAACATTATGAAAAATTTGTATGATAAAGCAAAATATCGTTGTCTCTTGACACTTTTTACAAAGAAAATTCATTGAAATCTTGCGTAATAATAATTATCCTCAAGAGTTTAATAAAAAAGCAGAAGTTACGATTCCTTATATTATAAGTATTATTTCGATAAATCAAAAATTCCACTGTCACTCTTAATAAAAACCATTAATTTTTTTTAATTTAGACATTTTCTCTTTTATTTAAAAAATACTTACAGATACATATATAAACAAAAAAGTGTATTACAAAATTTAATTTATTTTTTAGATTTAATTTTCCTTCATTGTTCTGTTTATCCAGTCAACATATTTGAAAACATGTGTTTGTACATCTGGATATCCTTTGGCACATGGTTTTCCCATTGAGACAATTCCAACTTGATAATTACCAACCACAAGTGGACCACCAGAATCACCCTACATTGAAGATAATTATATAAATATTAGTGCGGACTTTTTACCTAATTAAAAGAACAAAGGCGAAACTTACGTGACACAATCCTTGTCCAAATTTTGTAAAAGTACAAATTTGTGTGTCTGTTATTGGAGGTAGAAATGAAACACCAGCATAACGTTTCACGCAAGCTTTATGATCAAATACTTTACTTTTTAAATATTGTAATCGATTTGGTTGTTGTCCTTGCTAAAAATTAAATTAATTATCATTCACTATAAATGTGTATCAAGTTTCAAAATCTTGATAAGACTGATGAATGGTTTCAGATAATAGTTCATTAGTTTTATAAAAGTCGAAAACCTCAAACCTACTAAACCCAAGGAGTATACAGACTGTTTGATATCTAGTAATAAATTATCATCGTGAATTAATAAAATATTAATTTAATTAAATACATACGTATTGTAATCTGCCCCATCCAGAAGCAATAACAGGAATTCCATCTACATTCAGATCAATTGGAGGTAATCTAATCGGGCGGACGCTGTCCGAAAATCTTACAGTATCCTCAATTTTTATTAATGCTAAATCGTTGTGCATTTGGCCATTTTCATTAAATCTTGGATGTGGAATAACTTTATTAATTCTGTGTATTTTTGAGTTATTATGTAAATTTTTTAGATCAAATGCTCCAACAACTACAGTGCTGAATCCTGATAAACTAAAAAAATTGTTCTAATTAGTAATTGAAATATTAAACGAAATATTAATTTCATATCATTTTATGAAAGTAACATGAAATATTTCTCCCTTTAGTTATTTTAAAACTTACACTGGTGTACAGTGAGCTGCTGTTAATATCCATTTTTCATTTAAAATCGAAGCTCCACAGATATGATTTCCAGAACTTTGTAGAGAAACTTGATAAGGAAACTGTCCTTTTGCAGCAGTGAGACCACCGACAATGCGAGGATTCAGTATTGGTTCAGCTGGACGAAGTAACGGATTTGCTGTTAAAAGTGTCTCTTAGTTTTCGAAAAGATTTTTTTGTTTTTAAATAAAATGTATACTGTTAACTTTTTTATTAAAGAAAAATTTTAAGAAAACTATTTTGCATTTTCTAAAAAGCAAATATGTTCCTTATCTGTCTTTTAAAAAATGAGATTTATTTTATTTATTTTTTGTTTTATCCCGCATAAATTCTTTTTATTTCAAAATTACACAAGTTTTATCAATTTTTCCAAGAGAATGACAAAAAAATAATTATAAACTCACCAAATGTTAATCCAAAAAGTGCCACAAACAGAATTAACGTTAATTTAGACATATTGCAGAATTTAGATTCATTTCGGAGCTTTTCGTTTGCTTATATACTAATCGATACTCTAAAAAAATTTGATGAGATAAATATGTGATTAGATGTGAAAATGACTATTAACAAATTGACACTATCAAGATTTTAGCTTATCGCTATAAAATAGCAAAATATTTCTTAATCGATTTATAATAGTATAGATGAAATTATGAATTTAACACTTTTGAAGTAGAAATATTTTTAATTCATAATGAGATATTTTCAAAAATATCTAGGGATAATAAGAAACTACTTATTCTTAAGATGTAATTTCCGAAAAATAGCAGTCAAAAGTAATGCATTGAAACATCTTTATTGAAAATTATTAAATAATATTAGCATTTTACATTTAACACAAAATCTCAAAAAAAAAAATTGAATACAAAATGTCAAAATTTTTTGCCTTGTTTTATAAATATATTTATTTTTACAACTAAAAATAAAACACGGATATGTTAAAATATTTTTAAAAAAGAATTAATTATATAAAATTAAAATTTGTCAGATTATAATAGGAAATATATTCTGTAATTTTTTAGATCAGAGCAGATAGTTTGATAAGTAGATTGTACTTGTAAAAATCATTGCTTAATTGTTAGATTGGAAATGAGATTACTTTATCAAAGATAATTTGTTTCACGTACATTTGTAAATTGTTCTCTATAAATCTAAATAAGTGGAATTCCACTTATTAGTTACAAGTGGTTATGTTTTAAAATTTCAACTTACTTACAATAAGCTGATTTTTCACATAAATAATAAAAATTAAATAAGTAAGTAATTCAAAGGATTTTTATTTACATGAATACATTTAGCGACACAAAAAAATTATAAATACAGAAATATAATAACTGATTTTATTAACTAGAAATCTTTAAAGAAAATAAAATGATAATAAATTATTATTTCTGTACGATTATTCAGCTTCTTAGAAAAATAATTACCTCCATTTACTAAACATAATAGATTATTCGCATTTAAGAATAAGAAAATAATGATAATCAATATTTGAAAATCTCTAAACTGTCATATTAATAATAATTTTATAACAACTTCCTGTTCTTAATTTATTGATATTTTCATCTATTAAATTAACATTTGACGTTTATTCTTAGTTTTACAATATTATTCTTCTTCTTTATTATCAGGTAAAAGTTTAAAATATTTAATAAGAATTATTTGCTAAAAATAAATATATATTTAAAAAAGTATATAAATTCTACAAATAATTATGAATTATTAAAATATTTTTAAATAAATATCAATCCATCAATGTCAAGGTAACTCTATTATCACTCTGAATAAGGTCTGAGTCAGCTAAATAAATTTCGAAAGATTAATTTCTGATAATTTTTTATTTTGGTGAACCTATAGTTTTGCTTTGCGATTATATATGTTAGGCATTAATTTTGATTTGACAGATTTATTTTCCCTGCGCGACTATAGATCTTTCGATAATATTTTACTTTCTTTTTTGTCTAAGGATTGGATCAGTTATGTATCATTTTTCTGAAGAGAGCATATAAATAGTCTTATTTATAAAAATAGTAGTTATTTCAAAATAATTAATTCCCAATGGGAAATGCACCACGGGCGCAGTACTATACCAGCGTTGGCAGTATCGGGGCTACACTGAATTTCAGTACTGGTGCAATACAGATATAACGTCGGCATGTAGACAATGTTCTGTACTGACAATCGGTACTAATTCAGTACTGGCGTCAATGCAGAATGTTAGTGTTGCGGTAGTACAGGTGAATACGTATTTTTAGTGTCACGCCGATGTTACTTTTATTTTTATGAAAAAAATTTATAAGTTAAAAAAAAAAGAATTTCATGCTATTATCATGTCATGTATGCTTGGAATGTTAATACCTGTCGAAGAAAATTTGTTTTTCTATTTACCTGAATATTTACCATCATGAGGTCTCGAACGCAAGACGCTGCTAGGAGCGGATGCTCTACCAACTTACTGCGCCACGGAGGCTCATGAATGGAAAGTTAGAATATACATACATACGAAGGAAGTATGAAAATATGCTCTGTAACTTGAAAGTGGGATATTGTAATTGCAACAATAGTATATTGTAATATACATTATATTTAATATATATTACAGAAGAATATTAAAATATAAGGAATCATTTAAAAATTAATTTTTAATATAAATGAAAGATTAGTGCAATAAATTTAAGCTTAATAAATAAAATTCCTAAATTTTTATATAAAATTTATATTCTAACTTTTCATTTAAATAAACAGATTTTACAAAATTATTTGCCAAATTAGTTTATTAAAAAAACTTACCATTATGAATAACAATATAATGACCAATGGAAAAATAAGTACCGAATAATTACATTACACCATTAAAACAAAAACGAGACTTTTATACATAAGAACATTGTTTAAATATTTACCAGAAGAATATATAATCAATCATACTCAAAATTGAGATTTGCATATAATTAAAAAATGACAAAAAAGTGAGGTTACTTTTTGTGAAATGTGAATGAAAACAATAACAACCTAACAAGATGGTTGATTTTACCAAGAAGCTTGTGTTAATTTTATTAAATTTGTTTAACTTGTCCAATGTAGTTCGCTTTACCAGCTCTCACTATATAGTTATCAAAATCAAGTACAAAGTAAATTCAACAAAAGTCATTTTAACCATCTTAAAAAATAAAAAGTATATTCAACTTTACAATTTTAATTCATTCTACTAAAACTTTAGTTAATATAAGAATATGACTACAAATATTTTAACTAACGATAAATTATTAATTTAGTATTGAATTTTTTTTTCGATGAATAATTAACAAAAAAAAAATTATTCAACTTGTGAATTTTGAAATTAAGTTCTTAAAAACATATTTACAGTACTAAGCCGAAGTATTATTGCCAAGATTTGGCATTACTATGGCGAAAACATTTATTCTGTACTGCGCCAAGATTTACCTGACAAGGTTTGGCATAACTATGGCGGAATCATTTATTCTGTCTTGAGCCAAGATTACCCTGCCAAGACTTGGCAAAATGCTGGAAGAACAAATGGTTCTGTACTGCGCCATTTGTCACTGTTGGCATTGTACAGAGATTTCCCATTGGGTTGATGCCGATTCCATTGGGTAAAACTTAAAATAAACAATTGTTTTATAATTTTACAATTTAGAGTTAAACAATTTAGACATTTTTGTTACTAGTAGTTTGCTACTTCAAGGCTACCTCAAAGCTTCCTTAAAGATACCTCAAGGCTAGCTTAAAACTCAGGACTTGTTTGAAGCAAAGAACTTGTGCAAAACTTAAGACTGAACTTATAGATATAAGGCTCGCTTTAAGCTCTAAGACTTAAGACTGAACATAGACATAAGGCTCGCTCAAGGCTTATTTGATGCTAAAATCGCTTCTAATCTTAGGACTGAACTAAGACATAAGGCTCGCTTATAGCTCAAGGATTGTTGCAAGCTAAAAAATCGTATAAGACGTAAGACTGAACTAAGACTTTCAAGACTCACTTAATGCTCACTTTAAGCTCAAGGCTTGTTTGAAGCTATAAAATCGTCAAAGTCTTTAAACTGAACTAAGACATAATGCTCGCTGAAGGCTCACTTAAGGCTCAAGACTTGTTTGAAGCTAGAAATTTGTTTAAGACTTATGTATGACTGAACTAAGACTCAAGGCTCACTTAAGTTCAAAGTTTGTTTGAAGCTAAAAACTCGTCTAAGACTTAAGACTTGATTAAGTCTCAAAGCTCAAAACATGTTTAAAGCTAAAAAGTTGTCTAAAAATTAAAACTCAACTAAAACATAAGGTTCACTAAATGCTTAAGGCACAATGATAGGATAAGTTTAAATGAAGCTAAAAACTTGTCTAAGACTTAACACTCGTTAATGCTTAAATCTTATCTAAATCTTAAGTAATCTTTTAGAGTAATGTAAGATCATAGGCAAAGTTAAATCTTCCAACAGGACTTAAACGAGTTTAACATTTTACAACAATCTTAAGTCTTAGAAGAGCTTTTAGGTTAAAATAACTCTTGAGCCTTAAGCCTTAAGCGAGTCTTATGTCTAAGTTTAGTCTTAAGTTTGGAGGACTCTTTAGCTTCAAACAAGTCTAAAGCCTTAAGTGACTCTTAAAAGTCTTAGTTCAGTCTTAAGTCTTACACTAGCTTTTAGCTTCAAACAAGCCTTGAGCTTCAAGTGAGCCTTGTGCCTTAAGCGAGCCTTATGTCTAAGTTCAGTCTTAAGTTTAGAGGAGTTTTTAGCTTCAAATATGCCTTGAGCCTTGAACGAGCTTTATGTCTAAGTTCATTCCTAAGTTTATAGGAGTTTTTAGTTGCTTTTTTTTTAGTAAAATTTTACTATTTGAATCAGTAACTGACTTTTTGCTGCCAAATTAGTTATTTTTAACTAATTCAAATTTAGAGAGTACAAAGTGAAACAATAATTTAATTATAAATAATCTTCTTTTTTATTTTTTTTTCTAATTTGGAATTTGGAAGAACATTAAAGTAAATAAATTGCTAGAAAAAATTGTCTCCTTTTCCGGGATAATAAACAAGTAAGTGACGTTTCTCGAAAAGTTGGCTGCGTCTTTCCCATTTACGTAACTTCCTGAGAGAATCAAAAGTCGCGATTCGTCTCGCGTATAACATTTGCCATTGTGTCTTCTGAATATTGTTGTGGCGACGCAGTTCTAAGTGTTTCTAGGGAAAAAGCAAAGATTTCGCGGCCTTGTGTACAACTAAATTTCTTGAATCGCCCGTCCCGTTTCCTCTTTCCTTCCAACGAGTCTCGAGACTGCTATTCGTATTTTCCGAAAATTTCTTCCTTTTAGCGACTTGGACCTTACCCAAACTTAGTCTTCGGTGTCGGCCTAACTTCCGTCTCGACGAAACGAATGAGCCCCAATCTCGTACCTCAAACCCCTTCCCTTTTCATCCTTTTCTTTCTTCAGCGAGCTCGCAACTTCCGCCTTTTTCGCTTTTTCTCTAAGCCGGTTTGCCACCCTTATCCAAAGTCCGAAGTTACTTATAAGTTATGTTTTCGAGTG